TTAGAAGGCCACACACAAGGAAAAGAAGTTTCAATAGTCCGTGCAACAGCGCGGTACCACAATAACTTAAAATGTGGTTTCTTTTAGTTCTCACGTTTCGTAAAAGCCAAATAAACAATCATTGAATGCAATTACTAAGCATATTCTTATTAAGGAAAATTAACAAACGGCAAGCTATTTTGAACATGATATGTAAATTTCAATAATGAATAAATGAATGAACAGCAAGCAATCAAACATAATACAAAATAAAGCAGAACAACACACCACACACACACACACAAAAAAAAAAAAAAAAAGATTCAAAGGAAACGTTGCCTATCATGAAATTAGAATTTAATCACTTTCAAAACCACAAAAATCCTTTTCACTATCATCATCATCAAAAACGAGAATATCGTTATCACTACATTTTCCATCATCGCTAGTATCACTTCCTTCGAATAATGTGTTGTCTTCTGTTCCGTCAAGAGCATTACTGATTCCACACTTCTTAAAAGACAAAAATTACTTCAGCCTTTACGTCCTCGCAAGATCTCCCCCACAAGTTACCCAGTCGCACACTTGTGAAATAGAGGGCCGCTTCATTCTATCTGAGGGTGTGAGGGCATGATGTGGCTCTCCTATCCACTTGTTCCATCATTCTCGCACCTTTTCCTTAAATGGCTTATTCACCGATACATCTAAAGGCTGCAATTGGCTAGTCAGTCCACCAGGAATGACAGCTATCTGGGTTTTTAATTCTCTCGCTTTATTCTTTATAGTTTCAGTTCTATGGGCGCTAAACTGATCCAAAACTAAAAGAGAGGGTTTTCTTAAGAGTCCACCAGGTCGCGTCGCCCATACGTTCTGTAACCATTACGTTCCATACATTCTGTAACATTTTTACGGCATTTTCAAGTTCAGGCCAAGATGGAGCTGGGCATTAAAGGTTATTTTTTCTTTTTTTAGCAGACATCAGTTGATTTTCCTGCAGACGCCAAGTACATATCATTTTTTTGGTTGGTGGTGAACCGAAATGCCTTGCTGCTGCTCTGTTTCCATGCACTTTGGTGTAGTTTAACACTCCTAGTTTATACTGAATTGTATAACTTAATCTCTTGTTTCCTGTAGTCATATTTTCCAGGGTATTTTTTTTAAACAAATAATTTTAAGCACTGATACTGAAACGTTTATACAGAGTAGCACCGATACCGACACATATGTCGGCTGAGTCAAAGAGATGTTTCTTTACGTCTATGTAAAGAAAGGCTCCATAGACGTAATGTGACCATCGAACTTCGACGCTTTTTGGCGACAGATATTTCAAGTATGCACAAAATAATTATGGCAGATGTAGAAAACGTTATGTGTGTCTAGACCTTTATCCGGGCTAAAAAATAGCATTCAGTATTGAAAGTTAACCTGTGTCCTTCACGTATAAGACGCAGGTAACTTTTTTTAGACCAACTTTAGAGAAAAAAGTGCGTCTTATGTGCCGTCAAATACAGTAATTATTTTCTCATGATATCAACATGTTGGGCATCACTTCCTACGAGGTTTTCATCATTAAAAAAAAATTGCCTTTGCCATTTTGTCCACATTCGGGTCCACTTATAAATGTGAGCAAATATTTTCACGAATGAAATTTATTTTTAAGCAAAAACAGGAGCAGGTTAACTATTGAAAATTCAGATGCTTGTGTTCGACTTGAAACAACTATAAACCAGACTTGACTAAATTGACGTCACAAGTTCAACATCAGGGGAGCCATTGATATCGTAGAGAAAGTTTATAAATAAAGTTTATTCAACTATGTTTGTAATTATTTTCTTAATAAAATATATCTTATTATTTACTAAAATGCTGTTTTAATATGAAAATATCTCTGACCCAAACGTCTCTTTAATACTCGCATTTTGGTTGATTTTGACCCGTGGCCAAAAAAGGTTGCCGACCCCTGGTCTAAGGACTATTTGACTCAAATTCACACAAAATGGCATCGTGCTTCAGAAAATATTAAAATAAATGACCTAGTAATCATTAAGGAGGATAAAACCTTAAAATGGAAAGTGGGACGTATCCCCGAAATTTACCCAGGTACTGATTACAGAGTTTGTGTTGTAAAATTAAAAACTGCTGATGATGAATTCAAGAGATCCATTCACAAACTGTGTGTGTTACCAAAATATAAAAATGTGCAGGATCTTTTAGATTTTGATAAATATACATCCTAACTAATTCATACAGCTAATAATATTTATGAAGTATGCTTCTTCATTATTGCTCCACATTTTAAATATACACGTTTAATTATATACATTATACTACATTGTACAGTTACGTAGCAAATACACATTACACAGCTCTTCGCACTACATTCTCAAAACCCACGCCAACTCTGGCTCAAACCGAAACTTTTTCTCACATAGTTGAGGGGTGCTACAACGACCCCTATGGGAGATCTCAACATATTTCCCATGGATGATCGTTGAGGATATCAAACTGCCTCTTACATGAAATTATTACTTAACATTATTTTTAGTAAACATATAACTTAGATTAAATAGTTCTTGCATATAAATAAGTAATACTAAGCCTAAAATAATATATGGATGTAAACAAAATTAATAACATTAAAATTTCAAGAATTCAAATTAATATCAATGTGTATCAAGTTAAAGTTCATTAAGTATTGTGGAAAATTTTGAACTTTAACTTGATATGCATTGATATTAATTTGAATTCTTGAAGTTTTAATGTTATTAATTTTGTGTAATCCATTGTTTACATCCATATATTATTTTAGGCTTAGTATTACTTATTTATATGCAAGAACTATTTAATCTAAGTTACATGTTTACTAAAAATAATGTTAAGTAATAATTTCATGTAAGAGGCAGTTTGATATCCTCAATGATCATCCATGGGAAATATGTTGAGATCTCCCATAGGGGTCGTTGTAGCACCCCTCAACTAGAGAAAAAGTTTCGGTTTGAGCCAGAGTTGGCGTGGGTTTTGAGAATGTAGTGCGAAGAGCTGTGTAATGTGTATTTGCTATGTAACTGTACAATGCAGTATAATGTATATAATTAAACGTGTATATTTAAAATGTGGAGCAATAATGAAGAAGCATACTTCATAAATATTATTAGCTGTATGAATTAGTTAGGATGTATATTTATCAAAATCTAAAAGACCCTGCACATTTTTATATTTTTATTCCATGCACGTTAAAATCGTGCGAAACGTATTGTATGTTTTCTAAAAATTAAAAAAACGAAATTCCTGCATTATGCTGATTTTGTTTATAAAGATGTGAATAGTAATACATGAAGGTAGAGAAATTTTTTTTTTAAAAAGCGCCCCATATTTCATGACCAGAATGTATCAAAATCAAGCAGTATGCAGAGAGGTTAGTCTATAATTTAGGATTCCCTTTGGATTATCACCAAGTTGCTGTTTCATTTATGGTAACCTGAGTTTTGAATATTATAGAAACCCTATTATGACATGATTGGTTGCATGATTGCGGTGAATTTGGTTGATGGGAAAACATTTGTAAAGGCTTGCATCGAATGTCAGTTAGGAAGTATTGCTTATTTTGTGCATCGTAAAATGGCTGTATGTGATGAGATCAATCTAAGTTTTTGTACGATTTGGAATGAAAGGGAAAACAGCATTAATTAATTGGTGTATAAATGAAGGTTTATTTAGTACTCATTATAAGTGTCCTGTTTGTACAAAGGAAATGCGTATGGTCGAATGTAAAGATTGTTCAAATGACTTTGAATGGGTTTGTCAGAAGAAAGGCTCATGCAAGAAATGCCACCGACAGTCCGGCACTATGGAGGATATTTTTTACTATTATTTTGGTGAATTTATGTGGTGACGGCAGTATGCATATTCTAGTTCAGATAATTTTAGAAAGTTATTGGATGCTGTTAAGGAATTTTGTGTGCAACAGACTGAAGACACAGAAATTTCTAAATATGGTAAGTCGATACTTCCTTTTTGTAGTGTGTAGATGCGATAACATGTATTTCCTTTTTTATGTTATTTCACTGCGTCATTTAAGATGCATTTTATTTAGCTTTGATTGGCAACAAACTTTGTTCAATTTTGGTGATGAGTAACTTTGTTTTAATATTATAAGATGTCATCATTCTCCTGATTTTTTACATAGAATAGAAGTCAAAATAGATCGATGTGTACATGTACAAAGGGAGTGCGCAATGCCGAATTTGTGCAATTCTCTGATGTTTTTTTAAGTGAAAACAGATCGATGTGTACATGGACACAGAGTTTGTGCAATTCTTTTACTTGTTACTTTGGTTTTGTGTAGCAGTCATCCTGAAATTGTGGCCTTCCTGACCAACTGGCAATTTTCACCAAAGGGCACCCTGAAATATATGTTTACCCACGGAGGGTTAACAGACAAAATACTGTCTAGCAGATATAATTGTAATTAAAAAATTTTATAATACAATTAATTACTTTAAAGAATCCCATAATTTTATGCATTTCTGTCATAACTTATATTACTATTGCAATTCACTGTTTTGTGCATTTCTGTGCTAACTTATATTACTGTACGTTACAAATTCATCGATTTACATACTCTTTAAACATTTATTGACTTTTCAGCCACTTATGGATATAATATTTGGCTATTATCCATCATTTCAATAGAACCTGAATATAAACGTAGGTTTCTGTTTGAATTTTACCATATTTAAAGCTCATTCTGCTACCTCAAAATATGCTATTCATTAGATATTCTATAGAAAATCACAGACAGTCGTTAAAATTGTTTTTATTCTTTACAATTCCAAATATCACTGACTCTGACATGCTTAATATTATATTATCTGTAGATGAACTTGAGCTCTAATAAAAGATGACTTTAATTTTACAACCATTTTATAAAAGCTTAAGTTAAATTTCATTGTAAGTAATTTTTAAAACATTAAAAGTTAATATATATTATAACTATGTAAACAAGTACTAGAGGAACTTACCAAGAAAACTAATCACCCTGTCAGCAAAATTATAAAGTGCCCATATATTTGGAGCCCAATATGAATGTGTCAAGCCTCGTTTAACAGGAAATAATCGAGAAAGAACTTGCTTCAGCTGTCCCTAAAAAAAAAAAAGCAAACTTTATACATGATTAAAGTACAAAATAGCAATATAGACAACATACAGTTAACAATTAACTTCTTTTAGTATTTATCACACATTGCTGAATGATATAACATACAGCCAATGAGTACAAATCTATTGCTTTTAAAATATATATATATTAATATAATTTGCAGCTAATATCCAATAATTTATGCATATCTTTCCTATGCAAAATAAAAAGGCCTCCACATCTTCTAAATAATTCTAATGTCTTAAAAACAAGAAACCATGATTTTGATAACATTAGATAAGCTTTGAAATGCATAATCAGTTTTATATAACAAACATTTTAGCACAAAAATCAATATAATCCAATATATTCCTAAGACTAGAAAATTATATGAATTGTGTATGTAGCTATTATATAACTATTTTTGCAACCTGCTCATTATTAAAAAAAACATGCATATAAGAAATAATAACAGTTTTTAGGCTTCTATCAGCATTACCTACTGATTAATTTGAGGTTGGGTTGAGAATAACACTACCTGAGTGCTCTTAGTCATATAACTTGGTAGCATTTAAATAATCTCAAGCAATACTTAAAGTGCACAGTAAGTGTAAACTTTATGGTTTGGTTTATTTGATTACAGCAAAAAACTTAAGGGCTATCCGTCTAAGGAGAGGAATGTCTTCGTGAAGGACTTTTTAAGGGAACCTGGCTCGTATGCATGTTAGACATGGGAAAAACCCAGAAAATGACCATGTAGCCAGCCCATGCACAGGATTCAAACCTCGAACCAAACTATCGATGTTCAGAGACTTTATCGGTCAGCCGCTGTAAATTTTATGTTTTAAACGTAAGATGTTATTTTGCATTCTTAGACATGTGCATAAAAATCAAACACCCAAAAATTGCTGTTCAAAATGGACAGAGGGGAGGAGACAAAAGACTGATTAATATTCTGTCAGAGTAAACATTAACTGCAACCAAAGCTATGTTTTTATAGTCAAGAAACATTAGCTTAATAATTCAAGTTAATAGGCAAACTGAAACAAATTAACCTGATTCATATATTCATCACATTAAATATACTTTAACATATGCTAGCAATAAGTATTCAGTTTCAGTTATATATACAGTGGAACCTTGGATCACAAACATCTCACTTTATAAACAAATTATGTGAAAAAAATGTCTCAGATGATGAATGGTGTCTCAAGTTACAAACACTCAAGCCAGTAATATATGAATTTCCAAAAGTGTTTTGAGGCAATGTATGCTTCAAAATTAACGCTCAAGGAAACACCACTTTAGTATTTTCCATTATTGAACTTATTATTCCATTAAAGAAGCTTCGCAGCAAGTGACAAAGTGACATACAGAACCATGAAAATCACCTTGAGGAAATTATGGCCAAACTGGGTTTCATGCAGAGACTTTTAAACTTAGAACTTTTTTTTTACCCATGATATTATGTCACTAGGCAAAAAACTATAGGCTAGGAAGTTAATAATTAACACATTCAGAAGTTAATAGAGGACTATAAAAATTAGCTTAACAAAAATGAATTACAACTTCAAAAACAGTGACAAAAGGCGATTTAGGGAGAAATATCTCAGAAGAAAAGAAGGGAAAAAAATTAAATTCTTGTTTTATATTTACTGATTTCCAATGGTTTTGGGTGTACAAAGTATTATTATAAAGTTTAAAAGAGCAATCACCTTTGATTTAGGAATGAATTAATCTATTTTATAACAATTCTTATGGGGAAATTGTTTCAGTTTATGAACAATTCAGTTGAAAAACAGCCTTTAGAAAAGAATTAAATTCATGAACCGAAGTTTCACTATATGGATTTAATGAAGAACATCAAGAACAACAAGTTGATCCATAATGAAGAACATCAACAAGAACAAGTTGATCCATAATCAAGAACATCAAGAATTTTAGCTGATTTAAATACTATTCCTTTTATTTTAGTTAAATATATGTAGCCACAAATAACTTGGCATACTAACCATGCCTGTTCCAGAATATTTACAATCTTAATATTGTTGTGGTCAGAAAAGAACAGTGCAGCAGCAATGTAGATAAGCCGAGAAACAAAATGCAAGTGCAACATCCAATACGAACATATAGTTCAAAAGAAAAAAGGTTTTTGTTTGCAAATTTTGGCTTTAAGTTCTAAAGTAGCTGTGCCATTCAGAGTTTAAGAGACAATTGCAAAATTAAAATTAGAAAATTTGCTTTACACATTTCTAATGTTACGCCACACACAAAAACACATAATGTATGAGCAGATAATGTGTTTTTTTCTTCAAAAATTAACCCAAATATATTAAGGCACCGGTATATTAAGGCAAAATAGGAGGGGAGTTCCTCTAACATTCAAACATAAGGCCAGAAGGATGAAATGCAGCCAAGCAGGTAAAACAGGCTGGTTATTTTCTAAGCAAATCACTGCAAAGTAACACGCCAGATGCCAATGACAATAGCATAAACAATAGATTAAGCAATTATTTGTTCCCAACTACACAAGAAATCTGTCAATCTTAAATTTTTAATGCGAACTATGTTCATTTGTGACCACTGCAGTCCATAACTGGAATGCAAGCTGAGCTAGTTGATGACTATCAAAAGGTTAACAACATATTCCACGTTCCACATGTGAAAATTTTATTCAGTTATTCATGCAATTTTTGTAGAATTATTGCATTCGTTTCCACACATGCTGAAAAAACAGAGGGGGGAAAATCCATATTTCTGTGTACAGAAGAAAAATCTAATAGGAATAGAAGATAATGTTGATTTTAAGCTACTAACCAACTACCTTTCATTTGATTTCACTTAATAGTATTATATAGGGTGCCTTTGTCTAGTTATTCCTTTAATTTTTTCCCTCACCAGTATACCATATACTAACAAAATATGGATTTAAGTATACAAAAATAAAAATTATGCACAATAATTCAAAATCCTCCTGAGTAACTATAACCATTAGAAATAACAAAATCCAAACAAATATTTCAAATTAAAATATAATGCATTACATAATAACCATTCACAGAACTTATATGGTTTTATTGTCTCAAAAGCATTAAAAGAATATGAAGCAAGGAATAAAAATTTATTTTACCATATAAATAAAGGGACCAAAAGATATCAGCACTGTAACTATGCCAATTGCAGCTAATGCCAGAAAATGTTTCACTGAAAATCTTCTAAAATCTACATTTCCATCTAGAAAGAGTTTTAAAAAATTAAGATTACTATGAAAAATAAAAATGTTCTTTCAAAGCATCCAAATAATGGATAATTACCCGTGCTTTTAAAGCAATAATTTTTCAACAGAAAGATGAAAAATGCTGGTGCTAGATAAAGATATATATGCTTGAAGTTGATCAATATGCAGAACCAAAATGTACCTTGGACATATTTTTCCTAAAATATAAATAATTATAATTAAAATAAAATCAAGGCAAAATCTACTTTATAATACATTCGCACAACAAAGCCACAAAACTTTAAGAATTCCATACCAATTACATGCTATGACATTATGAAAATATTTTATAAATTACAAAAAACTGCAAATTTTCATAAAAATTATTAATTAGATGATGCATTTTCATTTCAATTAATCATAAACACAAAAAATATAAAAACATTATTAAAAGTTGTGATTATTTTTTTAATCATTTAGTTTGTTAATCAGCAGCAGACAGATTAAATCTGAAAAATAAGCTAAGTTACTTATGCTTCATAGAGGGACAACAGACCTACCTGCACAAGATGAATTATTATTATTTATTTCAAGCAGTGCCAACATGTTGCTTTAAAATCATGGAGTTTTTTTATTAAAGATACTTTGAATCTTAAGCTTAGAGAAGCTTATACTTTGAAGACAGTCAAATAATGGCATGTAAAAGTATTTTATTTGGGACATTAGAAACATCGTGGTTTACAAGTATTTACTTTTAAATCACTGAGTTTGTTAATCGAAAATTCATAAGTTTGTACAAACATAAAATTAACAGAAAACAAGTCAGGTGCAAGATTAGAGGTATACAAAATTTGAAGACAGTTAATATGCTACTATTCTCCAAAATGTGATGAACACATACAGAGATTCTTTATTTTTTAATAATGCATTACATCGGATATTTTGTTGTAAAATGTACCTTTTAATATTATTTAAAATGTAGCAAGTGGCTGAGATACATATTTATATTAACAAATGTATATGTTAAATATCTCAATTTTATATTATTGTGTTTCATATCACTTGAAAATATTTCATTTTTAAAATTTAATGCCATAATTTAAATAAAATATTTTATACAATTAAAATTTAATACATATTCAGAAACAAATTTTGTTCTCTAAGTTTCTTTACATGTAATAACTAGAATGGTGATCATTTCATGAGTTAATTAATTTTGTTTATATTTTTATTATAGTTTTGTTTTAGTGCTTTTTATACTTGAATATCATCACACAACAAAATGTATATTTAGTTTGCTATTTTTGTAAGTATATTTTTTTAATTATCAGTATTTCAAAATTTTTAATTTTAAATGCAGTTATACTAATTTCCCAAGCTAGTCTGATCAACTCTATCTACTCCTATTCAGAACACACTTTTCAATAATTTCACATTTTTCAATATGTATTATTTTAGATAAAAAACAATTTACAACTGCATACTAGCTGACTGATTTGTGATTAAAACAATTTGAGAAACTGCTTTTTCTTTGGTACTCAAATAAACTTTTGTAGTGCATTTTATATCATTCTGAACAATAAGAAATACCAACAGACACTGCTGCTTACCTTTTCTTCTCTTATTTAGATTTACACCAATTTTATATAATTGTATTTGATTGTGGTATCAGTAGATTGAATAAAGCTCTAAGTGGAAGATTTTATTATTTAGAGAAACCAATTTAAAATTTCATTACTTTTAATGTTATAAAGCTTTGGAGGTTTTCTAAATGGTTGGTTTGATCTAAATGAAGATCTCTTGCAGATTCCTCATGTGTGAGAAGCTTTAAATTTGTTTTCATATAACAGCGAGATTTTTTAGTCTAAAAACAGATACTAACAACACAATGAAGTTGCTATATTCATCCTTAGTCTAACCACTTAATCTGTCAATATCAAATAATTGAAAAGACCAAAAACAAAAACCTTTATTAAATACCATAAAAGTATTAATCAATTATTACATTTGCATCATATAGTTTGAAAATATCTGTTCCTATTTTTATAGCTATTGCACATGTCTGTTTAAAAAGAACAAAGTCTATCATTTTTATATTTTTTCAGAGAAAATTAAAAAGCTAAATATCTATCTATATCTATTAAATAATGCTATTTAAAAAAACCTATTTTATTTTCAGCCATGCTTCAAATTTATGGAAAACATTTTTGATTTTTCAAATTAAATACCCTGTTCTACAGAACTTTGAACAAAATTAAGAAGTATGGATTAGCTGCCAAACTTTTAGCACAATGTAAACCTTAAAAGAAGAAAAATCCCCTTTAGCATACTACGCAATAATAATAAACAGAACTAAATTCACTGATTAGCAATGAACATTCTTTCTTTGTAACAGAATAACAGCATGGAATTTGCCATTCACTCACATTGTGAAAGGGATGAAGAGGAAGGTAAAAGGCCAATATAAAATATTCCTTTGATGCAGTACTTTGTCAGCATGCACTATTCCGGGCTTAGATGTCATTTTGTTTCAAAATTTGACAATCATTCAGTACATGGCTATTGATTAAATGCAGTTAATAATATTTTACTACATAAATCAGCTAAATAAAAAAAAAATTTACCCCAATTACAATTGATAGACATGCATTTGGAAGACACTACTGCAAATGCGCAATATAATGAGAGTTACAAATTTTATGAAGCAGTCCCTGGCATCAAAGAATTATATTTCAATGTAATAACTATGATAAATATCTGATAATTATATAAATAATAATATTTTATTCACTCACCTGAAACATATCAGCGACAGAAATGAATAAAATTCCACTCAAAAATCCATTGTACTGAAAGTGAATATGATCCACCAGCAAAAGACCAGGATTCCACAACAATAACATGGCTAGCACTACTTCTTTTCTTAACCATGGGTCATCTATGCTAGCTTTTTGGGTTTTGCTCAAATTGAAAATACTGAAATTAAAATGTATTACTTCAAAATTGGCCCTTTCAAATTTTAATTCATTAGATAAAAATACAGTGAAAACTAAGTAACAGAACATGTCCAAAATTATTTACAATTATGGGACAATCCTAATCCACATGGCTGAAGTTGTGAAAGGCAAGGGCCAATAATGATAATATGAGGCTCTAAGCACAGCTTTCAAAGTTCCTATCTTTCATGAAGCAAAATGACAAGGAACTCAAGGATGATTTTGAAGACCAATAAAACATTGAGCCCTACACATAAGCTAAGCTGCTTGTGAGCTAAGCAGTATGATTAGGCCCTGATGAAGGAACAGCTTTAATATTAATTAATTTAATGCATTAAAAGTAAAAAAAGATATAACAATTTTAAAGTCTTGCAATCTGCTCCCCGTATTGAAATTCCAGTTTAACACTTGAAATATTTTTACCTATCCCCTACTGGTTTATAACTTTTCCAGTGTATTCTTCCAGACAGTTTAACACTTATTTTAACCTTCCAATAATTACTTTTATGTAAAATTATTGAAAAGCCTTTAAGAAGAAATTAAATTTTCATATTCATAACTATATTCCTTTGGATTTAGGTTTACTTTCAGACACAGTTCGCTTCTACGCTTGCTTCAAATAGAGTTTTTTGCTTTTAAATTACACATAAAAGCAACTTTAGTTTGGCATACATTTTGAACAAAATTCTGTCAATTTTATTTGTGAGGATGATAGGTCCATCTTCTTTAAGGGCAAAAATATTTTTCCTAAAACTTTTTGCATTGGCATATTTCTCTTCCAATCACACAGCCGACTACTTTTTTATCTTGCAAAATTTTAAGGCTATACTAAGGGAATAGCATTGCCAGCTAATGTACACCTTGCACACTAAAAAAATATGGGACAGCTCTATTGCTCCTGTTCTACTGGACCGTTTGTAGAAACTTAATTTGCGTTTTCCATGTCTTGAAAGTGCAACTTAGGATATATATTAGATTTATATATTTATATATGCATAATAATAGCTTGAATTAACAAACTAAATTTTGAAGCTGGGGGGGGGACATTAAGAAGGAGTTAAAATTTTGATGTCTTTATTGCTGAAACATGTTTATCAGTCATACACCTGTTTAAGGCTAAAGCTGTACTGGAGTGAGCAACATCCCTGGCTGGATGCTTCAACAACTGGAGACCCAACTGGTCCTTTATTATTTTACAGGCATATGTGTAAAATGCATAAGTTATACAGAAGGAATGTTATACACAATATGTAGAAAAGATTAACAGATGGACTCATTCATCTTTTCTCTTCATGATGAATTAATTTTAATCAATGTTCTGAAATTTCATAAGAATAATAAAAGAATTTGACTGACTCAAATGTTTCTAATCTTAACATTATGCATTTATATTCTTCAAACATGTCTGAGCAAAAAAACTCATGTCATTTCTTCAAATGCTGTCTGCTTCTATGGTACTAGCTGTGCATCTGTGGTTGCACAGTTAATTATTGCAAAAAAGAGAAATAAAAAAATTAAAAAAACCAAGAAAATTATACCTCGTTCTCTTGCTTATCTGACAATAAAAAAATATTATACTGTATACAAAGGACAAAGCTTTACAAACATTAAATTATAAGTAAAATGCATTTAATCTAGACAGATATTTACCAACATATAACAATACATTGCATTAAACTATAATAACTTTTCTATAATGGACTCACCGATTAACTCCAATATAATATATGACATCTGAAAATACCACAGACATCCGCATAAAAAAAACTGCTTGTGAGCTTTCATAGTTCAAGTTAGTCACTTCAAGCATCTTTGGATCAAAATACTTTGCTATTACAGAAAGAAAATACTCAAACCAAGCAAATAATGGTGGATAGTCAAGTGTCCATTGGGAAGTTTTCTACAATAAATTTTAAAGCAAAACTTTAAAATTCGCAAAAATTATTTAAAATATAAATAGATATAAACAGACACATAGACAAATAAATATAGAGATGATTTGTTAATTATTGATATCATTTCAAAATATTCTACAATAGTACCAATTCACTTTAAGTTAAATGAAAGAAGTTGAAATCTATCAATATAAAATAGTTGTGTAGAAAAAAATCATATATTTTACACATGATATACACGGATCAGCTGCAGAGTTTAAAACTATATAAGATCTTTGAACAATATACACAAAGAATTTTTATAGAAACAATTCCTCTCCCACTTAGTCATTATGCTGAATACATTGTCCAAAAAATCAAGAATTATAAAAATGACAATCTCCTTGCTTATAGTTTGGTTATTGAAAAATATAAATAATGCATCATATATCACATGAGAAAGCCTGATAAACTAAAAAGTATTTACTTCTTTATTATTACAGCCCACATCATTTAAATGACTTCAAGCAGCTATTCACAAAATGGACAACAGTCCTATTTAGAGTCATCTACAATATGCTTGTCACGAGAAGAATTCTAAATAGGGCTGCCATCTTGGTGCAGACCATTTCCAAGATGATTCTTGGCATGCTTAAATAACAGGGGCCAAGGTAATAATGAAATACTATCTTTCTTGGAAGAATGATATAGTTTCTTCTTCACTCCCTGATAAACCAAAAACGGTTAAAATTTTATATAAAAAAGACAGAAATACAGTATTAATGTGTGGCATACTCAGAGCTCTTGATCATATTAACTGAATTGTTGGCCACAATAAGCAACATATTTTCCACATTTTCATATACAAAAGGCATACCTTTGTAATTATATATATATATATATATATATATATATATATATTAATGTTTTCATTTAAAAACTATTACTTGAACTTTTTTTTCTGAACACGTAAAGCTATGATTAAAATATTATAAAAGCATTATGATTTTAAATAGCTACCTTTAATGAATATAAAAATATACAAATATAGTTAATTTGATTAGATTAAAGGAGAAGACATATATTTTTTTTATGAATTTTCTGTTAAATTTATAGCATATTTTCCTAGAAACACTAAGTAGTAGTTCCCAGTGGCCTGAGGGTTTTCTCATCTGTAAGATCCAGACTTTTACATCATTAGGTAGGTTTTTTTATTCATTTTTATGTGTTCTAAAAGATAAAACACACAAAACTTAAAGCAATGCTCCATAGTAGGCAGGCCAGCGCCAAGCCTAATCGGCGCTGTTGTGCAAATGTTGAGTGAGCGCCTTTATGTAATAACGATATTTAAACAAATTTAATTAAAAAAACAAAAAATAAAGTTTAACTTTTGTCTAAATATGCAAACATTTTGTGCTCTGTTAAAATCCACACTTAAACCTATTTATTGAACAGTTATAAAAGCCCCTCAAATGGTATAATGGTTAGCGTTGCTGATCGCCGTGCCGCAGGGCTCGGGTTCGAATCGAGAAGACATGGATGTTTGTAAATGTATAATGCGAGTGCAAGCTAAAGTCCTCTTGAAAGGTTGGTGGTAGAAGAGGTGTGGGAGATGCTTAGACCCAACCCCCCAGGGCATTCTCCAATCAAAATTGGGGGCAAAACTGAGCTAAATCATGGTAAGGTGGTGAAGGATGTTGTCAGCAACAGGTGCATCTTGCGCTCCTTGCCACAAGAAATTTCGTGGGGTTGGGCTGACTCTAGGTCAGACAAGTTAACATTAGTCAACAGCAACATGTTATAAAAAAGTAACACTGCAAGCAAACTGAAATAACACACTAAACGCACTGAATAATGGTTTTTGTTTAATAAACTAAAAACTATTATCTTTCGAGAAGAAAGGATTGACATACTTATGGAATACCAGTGAATTTAAAATATATCTATTTGAGATCTGAAGTGAAATAAAAATATACAAAGTATCCTGAAATCAAAAATTGCCCATTTTCCGATTTTTAACTATACGAGAAACCAAAGGAAAATGCTTATTTCATTACATCTTTAATACATACTTTAAATTTGATTTATTTACTTTAATAAACAAATGAGTACAACCACCTCCTTGAATTATTTTGTATTGATCTAATAGTTCATATATTTTCCAAGCAATGGTTTAAAATATACTCACTTTTTCAGAAGTAAGGTTAAATATTTCAAACAATGACTTTGAGTGTTTCAAGAAGCATTTTTACGCAATAGTTCTTATAATAGTTATTTTCTACTTTTATGTTTACTTCCACTTTTTCTGTTTTCATTTTTCCTCGGATGTTGGAAGAAAAACAGAAAAAAACTGTCTCTGTATTAGAATATAATCAAGAACAAGAAGGTGAGAGGGAGACTTGATAAACCAGTACTATAAAACTACTCAGTTTTTCCAAAACACAAAGAATACCCAATCTGATGCTACTCATACCAGTTGTCCATTAACGTCTCAGCTACCACTGAAATTACCAAAAGAACCTAATAATCAGAAAGAGTTAGAAAGTGTTTTCACCTGGGAAGTACCTTTAACTTCAATGCCAGCCTGTCAAAAAAACAGAGGAAATACTATTGAAATATACAATTTCTGCAGTAAATATGCATTTGCCTGTGCCTGATGATACCGGAATCTGCCCAAGTCCCTTACTGTCATCCCAAAATCAAGGCTTAATAGAAAATTCTTCTGGATATTACCCAAACTTGGTTTCGAGTTTCAGTTTCCCAAAAGACTAAAATAGACGTAATTTTTTTTTTTTTTTTTTTTTTTTTTTTTTAGATGTACTTTTTGTCGAATCTGACCAAACAATGAAAGAGTTATCCGATTTCTTAGAATGATTACGAGAGAGTAAACCTAATTCAGAATTTCAAATTTCATTAAAAAAGAGAATAAGCATTGCCACGATGTTATTGAAAGAATTACCTATGCCATTCAATTTTTAGCGAAATAAAATTTAGCCTTCTGTGGTTCCAGTAACAAATTATTCGAAAGATATAATAATTTTCTAGTGTGAAGAGTATAGAAATAGAAAGAAATATAGAAATATATAGAAACTGTATAGAAATGATCACAAATTTGACACTATCAATGTCTGTATATATTAATAAAATTCAAACTAAAAAAATATGCTTCATTACCTTGGAAATAAAATTCAAAATAAAACAATAAGCTTATTAGGGGATAATATAAAAGCAAATTATTTTAAATATAAATAAATATAATATAAACAAATTATTTTCAATAAAGTCAAACAGGCAAACAATTTTTCTATTTTACTTGATTGTACCCCTAATGCTAGCCATCATTTGCATGAGCAATATCAATTTGTATGAGGTATCTTAATTTAGAAAATATAGACATGAGTATTGAAGAAAGGTTTTTAGTATTTTGTATTACAACAGATACGACCAGTGGAGGACGAACTACATTCTTATTTAAAACCTTAGAGAAAAATGGTTTAGATATTAGTAATTTATGCGGCCATATGTAACTGCACTTAACCTTTTTTTATGAAGAGAAACAGTAACAACAAGTAATCATAAAAAAGATGAATGTTGCACAAATTACTACTATTGCAACAGTAGACACAAAATAAGGAGTAAGCAATTTGTCGAATGTGTCTACCCTTACATATGCATCGGCATCAAGTATTTCCACATTCAAATAAGACAGAAGAGAACACCAAAGACGAAATTTATATCGATAATTATTTTATTTTAATTATTTCCTGTCTGGTTATAACTTTCGGTTAAATAAGACAGTGCGCTAGGAGGAAGGGGCACTCAGACCCGACAAGGTCGAGGCTGGCTTAACACAGTTAAATGCCCCAACCCCTAGAGGCGATCCAAGAGGCCGCAAACCTATCGGTCGAGCCTGAGCCAACAGGAATACTCAAAAACTCACATTCCACGTCCACACCATCAACAAGGGCCTCAAACCCGGACAGCAAAACGAAGTCACTTAAACACTGTCAGAAAGACCGGGCAACCAATCCGGCTTGCTAACACTACATCATGCTATACAGATCTCGGCTTTAGGTGATCCCAGTGAAAAACCATAGAAGGAAATGAATGTGCAGTTTTGAGTCTCCAGGCGTTTACTGGAAATTTCATGCAGTTCAAAGGCTAGCTGAATTTGCCAACTCCCTCGACGGGGACATTTCACCCAGGACAACCATGAATATCTGACTATATAGCTCCCCCACAACCAACAGAACAGACAAGACAGTACCATTTGGTCGCTGCCGAACCTGAAAAAAAAAAAAACATCGCCAGCGATGACTCCAGTCCTGTGGAGACTGATTTTAAACACTCGTGACCGAGACTGCCTAGGTACAGATCCTGAACAGTAGCTTCCCAGGTTTTACCCGAGTCGACCCCCGGAGAAGAGTTCAAATAAGACAAGAATTTTTCTGTTCAGGCATGCAGCAAGACAAACCGATTGTTTTAATGATTGAATGTCGCCTTTTTGATTTGGCGCTGCCGTGCACCACATGACCTTGCACCTATTGTCGGCACGGGCCTGACATTAGGTTAGGTTATTTGGATGTATCAAAGCACATGAGGGCTATCTGTCTAAGGGAAGAGATGTCTTCATGTCGGATTTTCTAAGAAAACTGCCTCGCATTCATTACATATGCATTATATATGGGCAAAACTTCAAAAACATGCAGCTAGTCCATTTCTCTACGTTCAAACCTGAGTTAACTACTAATATTTAGTGATCTTAACTGCTCTGCTAATCATTATTTCTCTCTTTTTTTTAATGAAAATTAATTATATTAGATAAGCAGAAGAGTTTAGTGGCTAATAAACATTTCTGTACATCCCTAGTTGCATACATTTAAGTCTTAAATAATATATGAAAAATAAAATAAATAAATGTATTTCTAACACAGTGAAAAACTGAAATTTCTGGATCAAAAAAACTCTTCAGTTGAAAAGAAATGAGAAATTGCTTCAAATTTTTGGATGCTTTTAAGTTCTCTTGCAATTATGAAAAAAACACATAAATTATCATAATAAACTATAACATGAAAAAAGACAAAAAAAAATTTAGAAAATCAAAATACCTTGATATGGAAGTCGTTTTAGTTGTGTTGTAATGGTTGTTATTCCAGTTAGTGAGTCAATTTTCAAGCATGGATTCTCTAACTTGAACATTTCTAGTATGTATTTCACTAAACAATTTATTTAAACCTTGATAAAACTTGTAGTTTTAGTTTTAAAGACTCAAATTAAACACTGATAATATTTCGTATTTTCATTAACGTTTATCCCATATTATCAATTTTAAATGCTCATTAATCTTAAAATTTATCAAAAATATTACCTTGATTTTTTTCTCTCCCAACAGAATTACAGATATAAAGATTGGACTGTATTTGAAATAGATGTTTTCCGATATTATCGTTATTAACTGAGAACCATGCCTGCAAGGGCCATGAATATATTTTATTTAGCCCTCATAAAGAGGATTATATTATTATATTAACAGCATTTAAAATACTTCAGAAGCTGCCCCATGTAAATGGGTTGAGAATACAAAATTTCTAAAGATTTCAAGAATTAAAACATACCTCTAAATACCATTCGTTCACTGGCTTTTGATATGTTATGGCCATCCAATTTCTGTGGACTTCAAAATCAGTAGACTTGCTAAAATCAAATTAGTGAAAATAAATAAGTACATATAAATGTATGAAGTGAAAATATTAATAGTACATGATTGGTTAGCATTAAAATAGATGTATAACTCATTCACAGCTTTGTAATGATGTAGCTAGGAGGACAGAGAATATGGTCATGAAATTCACAAGAGACACATTTTTATGTCAGACACTTTATTGTTTACTTTAACCAAGTAATATTTATTATCTAATTAACTTTTAATGACTATACTTAAGACTAAAAGAAAAATAAATATAAATCTAACTCAATCACCCTTTCCTATTACATTAAAATTAACATTTTAAAAAATAAAACAAAAAGACGTAATACTAGGGAGCTAGTTTATTGTTGATATTGCAGCAGTTGCATCTCAAAAGTACAAGCATATCCCTCCCAAAAAATATTTGCCTGTTTAATCGGTAACTTTACCAGTATGATATAAATTTATATCGATTTAAAATTTAATGAAAGACAGGTTTAACTCTAAATCAAAATGTTTGTTATTTGTAAATATATAAAAATGTCCCAGAAATCTCTAAGCTTCAAAAGCACTTGTCAGTAGAAACAGGGACAAATTAATTAATTATTTGGTAACTTACACTAACTAAATTTACACTGATCTGGGCAGGTAGACACAGATCATCGGAGCAGTAAGAAGATGCAAGTGAAGCACTGAGTCTAAGTGAAGAATCACAAGATAATGAATTGTTATATAAAACAGATGAAGAAGGAATAATTCAAAAAATCATTATACAAGCTTCAACAGCATTACATTCTCATTGAGCCTCATTTATGCTACTAGATTTTAAAATATTAAAGTCAAATAAATCACAGTTATGATGGCAGAAGATTTCCTCTTGGAAAGAAAAAGAGTTTAAAGTTTTAACTCTGTTATTGCCACAGATGAAGAAACACAAGACACTGAAAGACATCCCTTTTAATTTTTGCAATTTATTCTAAAATAAATTAAGAACTAAGTTCCAAATCTGAGAGCAAATTTTTCTCATAATTACTGTAAGTGTTACTAGGTGCAAGAAGAAGTACATTGAAAAGAATTATTCAAGATCAATTGATGAGTTCATGTTGTTTATGAAATTTTATCATACTGTGTATATTTGAGGTATGACACTTGAACAGTGAAATAGATTTTTATAATACCAGTGGCAATTTTACTAATTAAGCAAGAAAAAAAAAACACTTTAAAATACTGGAATTCAAAAATTTAAATATATCTAAATTACACTATTTTTCATGGACCTGTTCTTCATTCTTATATACTCAAACTTTTATGCGCAAAAAAAAAAAAAATTTTAAATCATAAGCATCAAATAAAATGTTTTGATAAAAACTAAACTAACTGATAATAATAATAATTTAAATAAGGTCATGGGCATTAATATAGATAAATAATGTAGGAGAATTAGAAGATTATTAGATGAAAACTAATTATTAGATGAAAACTAAATTAATCTCTAAAATGAACAAATTAACTTCTCAATGAATCAAAACTATAACAGATTTATCGTTATTTAAAAAACAACTTTAACATCAATTATACAATTAGGGGTAAAATCCTAGTAGTATACGGTGCAGCCTTGGCGCGATTTTGAAAATTATCGCCAACACCTAAAATGATTCACAGAACGTCCATATATATACTATAAACTATATACTATGTGTGTACATACATAGTATATACTATATAACTATATATATTCTTTGAATGACCCGTTTCGTCATTCAAATACGTCTATTCATCGTATACGTCGCATTTGGGGGGGGGGGGGGGGGGGGGGGGGGGGGGGGGGGGGGGGGGGGGGGGGGGGGGGGGGGGGGGGGGGGGGGGGGGGGGGGGGGGGGGGGGGGGGGGGGGGGGGGGGGGGGGGGGGGGGGGCGACTGGGGGGGACAGTAAAAGTACTACAACATATGGGGGGGAAGGGGGGGGGGGGGGGGGGGGGGGGGGGGGGGGGGGGGGGGGGGGGGGGGGGGGGGGGTGGGGGGGGGGGGGGGGGGGGGGGGGGGTGGGGGGGGGGGGGGGGGGGGGGGGGGGGGGGGGGGGGGGGGGTGGGGGGGGGGGGGGGGGGGGGGGGGGGGGTGGGGGGGGGGGGGGGGGGGGGGGGGGGGGGGGGGGGGGGGGGGGGGGGGGGGGGGGGGGGGGGGGGGAGGGGGGGCGATCATTTTGCATTGTGAAGGGATATAGGTTATTAAGCAACTTTAAGTAATCTTTTATAGTTTGGCGACATTTTGGTAAGGCGATAAAGGTTACTAGCTAGGACTTTAGCAGTGTACATGGATAAAGCCAAGAGTGTGCGCAATGCCATTTTTGTGCTATTTTGAGATGTTTTTTTTAAGTGAAAATAGGTCGACGTGCACATGGATACCGTGTATGTGCAATTCTTAAAAACGGGGCAAGCAGTTCGCGATTCTGCACTTTCTCCCAATTTTGCACCTAATCTTCGTCATGATTAAGCACTTTTGTTCCATAAAAGTACTAGCATAAGCGTAATTCGGCTAGCAGATTGTTGGAAAAAAACTGTTGAGTATAAAAAAAAAAAAAGCCTTTACTTCGTGAAAACAAAATGGCGTCCAAACAAAAACTAGCAGGTTGCTGCAGCAGGGTTGGTCGCCAAAAAATCGCCAAGTTACCATAATCCAATGATTAACCAAAAATTATACAGTTTTATAAATTCTTACTTAATAATTTTATGGGAAAAAAGAAGCATTACTTGTGTAATTTGATGGTAAATCAAGTTTGGTAGTTTATAGATAATTAGCATACTTTGAAAAACAAAAATCATTGTGATAAATGAGTCATTTATTAAACACACTTTATGCAACTTATCTAAATATAAAAATAATACAAAAATGGTAGCTGAAAAATATGTTAAGAACGAAAATTTGCTTAAAAAACTGTCAGTCCCAATCTTATAACATTCTTAACGGCAAATTAATCCTTTTTCACTCAGTCTGATCATTTTTTTTAAACTGAAATATAATTCATGGCAACTCACACACCCTGACTTATAGTATACTCATACATTTTCCTTTATTGACACGCTACTATTTATGCCTGATCATACTTTATTTTCCACCGAAAATTTTAAATCGTTTTTAAAATGCCTATAAAATTTAAATAATTAACAGTTTATTTCATTTCACTTACTAAAGTGGAATAAATAGAATTTTCAAACATGTTACGGCAGCAAAAGAGACAAAACAATCTTTATCGAACATCATAACCTTCTAAGCGATTAACGCACGTTAGCGTTTCTAAACATAAACATAAACATAAACAAAAGTTTTTACCTCCATACAAGTTTATTCGCTGTGCGCATGCGCCGATTCAAACGCCAAATTTGTGTGTCTTCTTCTCCGAATGAGATACATTCATATTTTAATTTATTTATGAACTTTGAATTTTAATTAACTGTTCTTTCATTTGGTTAGCATAATTTTTGTTAATTTTATTGGTACTTATATAATATAAAGGCAAGGTTTTAGAGCGAATTATTTGGTACTATAAAGGGTAGCTCTAATTCCGGTGACCTCATAAATCATGTGACGTATGTACGGCTAACAAGGTTGTTCTGTTGTTCTGCTGCGTTAGGATTTGTTAAAAATTCGGAAATGTAGTTTATTTTAAATTTTTTACGAACTTTGAATTTCACCTTTTAATTAACTGTTTGTTCATTTGGTTAGCATAATTTTTGTTAGTTTGATTGGTACTTATATAGAGGCACGGCTTCCAAGCGAATTATTCGGAATAGATTTATTAGCTAAGGCTAATAAACGCTAAGCTCCTATATACCAGGCTGAATCATCAGACATTCGGGATCCCAAGTGGGAGTATTAATGGCGGCTGCATAGTTAGCGGTACAACAATTTCTTGTGCTTTTTTTGTGTAAAATGGGCTGATGTGCAGCTATTAATTGCTCAAATCATTCACGGAAAAGTCATATATTGGTAAATATATGACCATCATATATTTACCAATATATGACTTAAAAATGAAGAAAGAAGAGAAATATGGGTAAAGAATTGCCGAAGAGACAATTGGAAACCTAGTCCACGCGCTCAACTTTGCTTAGTAAATGTAATATTATTTACACCTTCATTTATATCTTCTCCGGGAAGCACTTCCGCAGAGAACCCGGTAAATGTAAACATCGCCAACTTTGGCGATAATAGTTCAAACCTGGTAACCTAGCTAATTCATCCTATTCGCTTGTGCGCAGGTTGTCGTTGTTCGCATTTGAGGGTTTATATTATTCTTCTCTTATTTATTATTATTTTTTCTCAATTTTTTAACAACGAATAGATAGAAATATTTTCGCATAATTAAAGAAGTTTTCGTCGAAAGATGCCGGTTCTCGGCTCGTCAGTTCGGGATCAAGGGAAGACAATATGGCGGGAGGGGTGAATGCTAATTTGTAACAAGGCTGTTCACGTTATGTTCTTAATTATTAACAGCTGTAAGCATGTAAGCATACAGAACCATGAGGTTTCCAACTCCTATGATAATTTTAAAATATATAAAGTTCTAGTTATTTTAACAATACTACTGAAGAAAATTTGATTACTGTTGAAGGTTATTTGTATTGTGAAATATATTATGAAAAAGGACAGGTATTTGTTTCAACGTAAAATACTTTAAGCTGTATGCAAGTAACTTGAAAAAAAAATACTGAAAACTATGTAAAATGCATGTATTAAAGGTCATGCATTTATTAATTTATTACATTTATTACATTACTCTTACCGAAATACATCAATCAACGGGCAAACTACTTAATAATGATAAAAGACACTTGTCATAGAAATATTAGTATTCTATATGAATTAGAGAAAATACATATAAGTATAATGTAAACGTAAGTATAAGAATACTAATTTTTATTTTTTAAATGAATTTTTACTTCCCGTTGCGTTTAATGTATTGTTTTCTGTGCTAACTTGAATTTAGTACAAATTTATTTTCGTATATCACGTTTAACCTGTTAATTTTACATCTACATACTTATTATCTGTAAATTTTTACTCCCATTGTCTGCTAACTTGAATTTACATATACTAAAAACCACGTTTACAAAATATCACGTTTAGGGCTCGGCTCATCCGAGCTTGGCGAGTAAAAATGCAACTGCCGGAAACGGGTTCTTTCCCGAAGCGCCAACGGGTTCTCTGCGGATGAAAACCTCTTCTCTGATGTTTATAATGTGCAAGTAAAGTGAAATTCTTATGTGCAATAACCTAAGTATTTAATATAATTTTTACCTAAGTATTATTGCTAATTTCTGTCATAATAGCTATAATTAAATTACTCTAGGGTTAATGTACCCGTCGCCAAACATCGCCAATGTGTATGTTTTGAATGTGGAACAGAAATTTCTCTTCTAATTTAAAGCGCAGATTTAGTTTTCCTGTACTAATTGTGGAATTTATACTAATGTAACATGAAAATCATTAGCATATTGAAATTTATTAAAAAATAAATAATAATTTGGAAACGTGAGTTAAAATCTGAATGTTTGCTAAAGATATATGTAGCATAATGAGTTGCAATATCGTTGGAATGATGTATAATTTTTTTCCTTAATTTATAATCACTATTGTTGAAAAGTTAGATGAGTTGTTTATGCACGGTGCCCAATACCGTTTCTTGGCTAAAATAACTTCCAGAACTTTGACATTGACATCTGAAATCAATAGAATAAATTGAATAGACTGAAGTCAATAGAATAAATTATTTATAAACTTTGAATTTCATCTTTTAATTAACTGTTCTTTCATTGGTTAGCATAATTTTTGTTAATTTGAATTTTTACTACCATATGCTTAATATATTGTTTTGTCTGCTAATTTGAATTTACATGCACTAAAAATCACGTTTACAAAATATCACGTTTAAGGCCCGTCCACACGAGTACGCTCGAAACGTAGCTGACTAACGCGCTTTTACGTTACCAGCGTAAAAGCGTCCAAACGAGTACGCTTGCGAAGAGTGCGTTTAACCAATAGAATTATTTTGCGCAAAAATCACGTGACGCTGTAATATAACGTCAACAGAGCCGTATCTTATTACTTCGCTGTTCTTCTGTATGTTTTGCGGGCAAGTTGTCCGAATCAGATGATTTTTTTTTATAGCTGAAACTTTACTATTATGTACAATTATTAAGCAGAGGCAAACCGCAAAAAATGGCAAGAATGAGTCCGAAAGATTTATTTAGAGCGACCTGTTTCAAAGAGATTTTTTTTTTTTTTTTTTTTTTTTTTTTTTTTTTTTTACTGCCTTGTTTGCGAAAGGAATATCCGGAATTATTAAATTCCTACTATACCTCACACTCTCCCTACATCTTGTTCAAATTTTCAGTACATAAAATGCTTTTTATTCATCCACTCAAGTTCAAATACAATTTTTTAAACTTGTACTGAATGACACTTGATGTTAATACAGCTTTTTCACATATTAATTTTTTTTTAATTTTTAATTAAAAAATTCTGTTTGTATTTTTATTTATTTATTTATTATTTATTTTTAAACTTTTCTTTGTGGACCTAAGTAGGAAGGACTTAATTTTTTTTTTTGAGGGGGTATATTACTTGTTTTTTAATTCCTTCAGGCATGATAGTATCGACCAGTTTGGCAGACTTGCAGATTCTATATCGTATGAAAATTAGGATTTATAAAATTGGTTTGGAATACAGTATATAAAGAGAATTAAATTACTTAATTCTCTTTATATACACGATCCACCATATAATAAAACCAACTTCATATTTTTTTAACTCGCTCTCCCTTGGTCTTTTGTTTTTCTTTTTATTTATTTTTTAATTTAGAATGAGGTTCAAACTTTGGACAGTTTATGAGAAATTTTGTGCATGATAAAATATGCAATAAAGTAAAAATAAAGAGAGAATTTATAGATGATATATGATAAAGAGATGCAGATATATTACTACATAAGGATTCTAACTATTTGCACTGCACATTTTTAAACTAAATTAAAAACAATAATAATAATAATGAATAAAACAAGAAATGAAAAACAAATATAATAGGTAAAATAAGAATATAATGATTTCACGATTAAATATAAGAAACACGTTCAAAATGAGAAAAGCTAACTGAATTATATACCGTCTACGGGTGAGGATTGAACCGCCACCTTTCCATTCCTCCGCCACGAAAGCAGCGCGCTGACCACTCAGCTATCTGTCATAGCAATGTTTACGAAAAATAATGTAACAAGTAGAAGTCGCTGCAAAGGTAATTTAATTAAACTTCAATAAATAATTGCTGTATGACACAAGTTGTAACTTTCCTCCAAAATTTCCTAATAGTATTTTATTGAATACTCTTTCACAGTCAACTGCTTTATTTTAGAAGTTGTTATATTGCTGAAGTTAGTTTTTGGTATATTTAATATTGGGATATATAGATCCCAATATTAAATATACCACATGATATAGCCTAATATATTAAAATAATAATATTAGGCTATATCATGTGTAATAAAAGATAGAGCTTTTTATTACACATGATATAGCCAATATTTATAATAATTAAGGAGAATTTTGCAAGGCAGAAAAGAAACTTTGATTTCGTATAGAAAACTGTAATTATTTTAGGTTCTTATTAATTACGGTGTTATAAATAGGTGAAGCATATGGATATACTGGTTGGATCATTGCTTTATAAATATACAGTTTTTCACTTTAATGAGAATTTTAAATGTATACCAATATGTACGGTTTGAGAAAAATCTGAAGATGGCATGAACAATGCTAATTATTTTTTTGATGTATAAACAAAACTATTGAGGTCGAGAATAAAATAACAAATGATGCGAAAGGATAACCGGAAAAAAACCTAACGTTTCTGATGGTCGCTATTCCTAAGCCTGTAACCAGGCTGAATCACCAACGTTTTCTCTCTTGGCGAGGGAGTGAACGCGCTGCCAATTTTGGCGCGTTTATCGCACACGCTGGCTGAATGTCTGCTGTTTTTTTAAAGATTTATTTTATAGACGCGCGGCATTCAGCGCATATAAACTTTTCGGATAATTTATTAATTCTCGAATAGTATATAGACGTTTTCACTTAAATAAAAATTTCGCGTATATTTTGTAAACATATTCAAAATAACTTATTCTTTAGATGTTTCAGTTTCGTTAGCAGACTATAATAAATAAGATATGAATAAAAACTTTCAATAGTGTCAAATGGGGAAATAGTTAAAGCGTAGAGTGTGCAAATAAATTTATCTTAATGACATTTTAACAAAAATTTCCATAAAA